AAAATAGATTTGAACATCCATGAGAAATCAGTAGATTTGAGTTAGAAAACAATTGTAAATGAAAATTTTATTGAAATATTCTAAAATAACGCTAAAAAACACTTAAGAAACAATAAAATTGTAATGAAATTCAATGGGAAAAAGCTGGAAATAAAGTGTTAGGCAACTAAGAAAATGTAAAGTGTAAAAAAGAAAATGCAAGCAAGTAAAGAAACAAAAATTTAAATCCTAAACTAACTCTCTCCCTATTTATAGGTAGAGGGTAAAAGCCTCAAATCTAAAAATATTTCAGAAAATTCTTCATTTGGCTAGAGCTTTTGGAGCCTTTTTTTTTCTTGGTCCTGTAGCGTCGGGTGCACTTGTTTGGCATCTAACATCTTGTTGCTTCTGTAATCCAACTTGCAAGTTGATTTCACACGTAAAATGTTGATCCACATGGTCAAAATGGTAGCCAATCATAGCCTCTAAAAGTACAAACTCAGCCCCTAGCTTTGATGCTCTTAAACCAGCTTGTAAAGCCTTGCATTTGCATGTTCCTTCCATACACCCATGCACCAATGCTCTTCTTGCCTTTCATTTTTTTTCTACAAACAATTTCCAAACATTATATGAACATTTTTATCCTACAATTTACAAGAAAAAATTACGAAAATAATACTCAAAAAATTATGCAAGAAAAGTCAAGTGTCAATTTTGCTTGTTGACACTAGTTTAGGTCATTTGCATAAATTGTATCAAAAATCCTCCAAATTTGTATAAAAAAATTCAAAATTCTTTATTTTCATTATTTATACCTACGTATGTGATAAATGTGCATTTAAGAGTATTTTTGCCAAAATAATGCTAAGGAACAAACCATAATATATGAAAAATTGCATTAAAAATAAACATGAAAAAGCTAAAATTTAAGTGCAATCAAGAAACAAGAACAAAACTAAGAGAAAAAGTTTCACTTAAGAAAGTACCAAAGATCTTCCAAACACTTATTAGCTAAAGTGTGGCTTTGAGTTCTACCAAACCTAGAAAAAGTTATTTCACAAGAGCTCGTGTGGATCACTATTAAAGGCTGAACACTTAGGTAGCTTTTAGGCTTGGAGAACTATTTGGAAGGCCACTAAATTCAACCAAAGGAATTTTGGCATCCAAGGTAAGCACCTAAGCCAAATTCGTGCATGATTGTAAAGTTGCATATTTGTATAATCTTGTTGATTGACCTTGGCTTTAGGGAGTTAAAATTTTTAAATTTTTGCTACTTTAACATTGTATAATGATGCATAATTCTCTTTGTCAAATACATGCAAAAATGCTAGAAAAATAAAGAGAATAAAAGCTAAAAGCTAGAAATAAAAAACTGACAAAAATTAATAAAAAAAAATCGAACTTGCATATCTAAAGTAAATGAAAGCTTGGAATGTGTTTACAATTTAAAGAGAAATTAGAACAACCTAAAGAATAACTTAAAAGAAAAAAGAAAAAGCTAAAAAATAAGTAAAAATGAAAAGATTTAAAGCCTTAAAGGAGGGGTTGTTGGCCAGCAAAATTGCTGCCTCTAAACCCCAATAGGCATCCTAATCTAATGAAAAATATGAAAAGCAAAAATTTGGCTAGCACTCTCTCTCTTTTTTATAGCCAAAATATAGGACATTTTACAGCATCTCCACTATCCAAAATAAGCCATCCCAACCTTCCATTCAACCATCACAGCCAATGTAATTTTTGAGTTGTTTTGAAGGTTGTCAAGCATGACTACAAGAGTTGAAATTTCCAGCTTAGCTCGAGCCCATGTGATGCTTACTTGGTTGGTCCAATGAGATATCTCCATGCCTCCACCTTGGCTATATGTTGGTAGCTTGGTCCCCTCTCGAAATAAGTCATTTGGTAGCTGAAATGAGGCAAAAAACTAAATCTGGCCTGAGTTAACAACCTGGTGTTGACTTGGCACCAATGCACATATGCCACTATGGATGACCTTATGTGTTTCTTCAATCAATTCCCATAAAAAAAAAACCTTATTTGGAGACATTTTCTACATTTTTCCATCCATGGAACCCCTCCAAACCATGCAAACTAGAAGCAATAAAAAGTGGCAGCAAATGTCCCTTTCAAGTGGGGTCTCAACTTTTATCTTGTTGTGAAATTAGTGTCACCCCCCTCATTTTTCTTGCATTAATGGCCAGTTCTCTTGCTTCAATTCCAGAGTGTTTTATGTTTTGTTGGTTATTCCTTATGTCTATATTCAGCTCAAGAACTCAACTTGAAGCTCTTCTAAGTAAACTTGTGTAATAATTCAAAAGTAGCCCTCCCTTAAGCACACATACACCTTTCGGCTAGGACATTTTGTTGTCCTAATTTTGCGTTGGCTTCTTGGTGGCTCATCAACCTTTTCATGGTTCAATTAAGGCTTGGAATATAGCTTAATTTCAGCTTAATTAATAGCCTCAAAAGCTTGCAAAAACCAGCCACTCATAACCCACAAAGTGACGCCAAACAGCCCCCATGTATATCTTGAATTTCTAGCCAGCTTTTGCACCTTGTTTACTTCCAGATTTAACTCTTTAAATCAGCCACTTAAACTTGAAATTAACACTTCAAATGCAGCTCCAATTTAGCTCAAAACTAACCTTGAACGTAAGTCAAATATCATTGCAAATAGCTTTGAAAATCAATCTTCAATTCCACCTAATGTTGACACCATTTGCAAGCAGTTTATAACCCTTTTTTTGCTCCATTTTCAAGTTGATTTTAACCTTCCAACATAAGAGAATAAGGTGTGGGCATGATGCTTCAATTTTACCTACACATGAAATATAAAAAAATTAAGTAGGTAATTAAGCAAAAATTGATCAAGTGAGATATAAAATTAATCAATTAAGTACATGATAATTCTAAAAAAAATAAAATTATCAATGATCAAGGATGATGATAGGCTGGATCGAGACCTTATTATGCCATCACTTGGTCCAATTCCTTATTTTATGGCCAAGAAACTTCAATCAGCCCTTGAATTGCCTCTTAGGTAGAATTCGACTCAATTGAATACTTTGGGTAGTGAAGTTAAGGAAAAGAAGCCCACATTCATGACACTGATCACTTGCATGAAAAACTAGGTCGAAAGTAGGCTTTTTACAAGTTTAGGCTTTTAAGGGCCAAAACATATCATAGGCCTAGTATATGGGCTTTGCGTGTGGAGGATTTGTTTGAATGGCTTACATGATAATTTATCAGATTAGTTATTTAGTTTAATTGATATTTTATAATTTTTTCTTTCCTATTTTCTTTTTGGTATATCTTTGCATATCTTGAAGACTTTTTGGACTTGCTAAATCTTTGCAAATCTTGGACATGTTCTAGATTTGTTAAATCTACAGGATATCTCAATAATTAGGAAAACTTAGGATTTATTCTGTTATTGCTACCCATCTTAGGATTTAGGTTTCTTTTTTGTGCCTTGCTATATAAAGGCTTTATAATTGCAATATATGACACTTTTTGGTTTATTCATCAATAAAATTCATAATTGCATACTTGCATTGTCTTCAATTCTTATCAAAACAATACCTTTGTTTTGTGGCAAATTAACTTCAATTTATACCATTCTTCTTTCATTTTTTCTAAAAGTGTGGCAATTCAACGCATTATTCTTTTGATTGTAACATGCAAACTTTTCAATCAATTGAATTTTGATTTTCTTCTTTCTTTTCTTTTGTTTAACCAAACATAAACAAACCACAACACAATTTCTTCTTTTAGGGTGCATTACTAGATCTCCCAAATCAAAGTTTTTAATCACAACCACAAAACCAATATCTTTTCCAACATTTCTTACCCAAAAAATCAATGCTTCCTTACTACAAAACTCTCGCACAACAATTTGAATTATTACATTTTACATCTACATAAACTAATAATAAAAAACACAATCTTTATCCATCCCAAAGTTATCTTCAAAAACATAATATTTCCTTTTCAATAGTAAATGAATAATTACAATGATATTTGGAATTCAATTTTTATGGTGATTCATTCCATTTATCAGCGTAATTCCCAAATTATTCTTCATGTTAAAAAACTGAAAAAATTGTTATTAATATATTTCCAAAAATTTATTTTTATTAAATTCTCTAAGTTTTTAGATATGCATTTTCAAAACTTTACATTTTTTCAAAAATACATTTTCGTTACATTTATAAGTTCTTGGCAATGCATATCCAAAACTTTACAATTAATTCTAAAATTACTTAACAATTTAGACTCTATATATATCAATAATAGTAAGATCTTTCTATAAACATAAAGAGATTTTTGGTAATTCACATACAATTTACACAAAGATTTTTGAAATTAATTTTTGAATACTACATTTATGTTCTGGAAACATATTTTCAGAATGTGCAAATTTAAGGTTAAAATCAGCTTATCCAACTATATGGTCTGAAATCTTTGTTGCTGCAAGTATTTTTCCCAAGTTGACTTTTCATTTTGGTAATGTACAAAATACTACAAATACTTTTACTTTGGTTTAGGATGAAAGGTTACAGAAACAAAAAAAAAAAAAAAGAGACAAAAAGAAAAGAAGATGAGAAAGGAAGATGATGATGAAGTGCATATAGAGAATAGAAATAAATTCACTAACGGATATTTAGTTAAATGTTTAATAAAAATATTGAGGTGTATAAAACATAAATTTGGCTGTTAATACTCCAAAAAATCTTTGTTTAGCTAGTATTTTTTTTTTATTTTAAAACTTTTAATCTACTTTTAAACACCTCTACCCAATTACATATTTGACTAACAATAACATTACATGCTTAAGTTTTATTGAATCAATAACCTTCAAATGTAAGATCCAATAATATGTTAACTGATTAAATGGATAAAAAATCAAAATGTGACATAAATGCAAAAAGAAGTGAGCGGCTTTATTTAGCTAATTTTTTGCTTTTTTCTGTTTTTTTTTTTTTTTGTTATTTTAGTTTATTTATTTATTTTGTGAAATGAATAAAAGGAAAAAGAAATAAAATAGGGCGAGAAAGCAGAGAGAAGTGAGCGGCTTCATAAAATAAAAAGCGCCGTATTTGATTTTGTTGAGAGAGCAGTGAGCGGCTTCAGAAATCTAGTGTGCTGCAACCTTTTTCATTCGAAGGCATTGTTTTTTTGAAGTAATTTTACATTTGTCCGCAGATCTTACCGAGAAAGTAATGGAAATAAAAGGGAAGACGGAGAATACGGAGAAAGATTTTGTGTTGCAATGGGGAAACAGAAAGAGGCTTAGATGTTTTAATAAACTAAAAAAAGAGCACCGTTTTGGCAACGGCAGCAGCAGCAGGTCAACAACATCAGAGTCTTTACCTTTGCCAAAGATGGAGATGGCTTCACCTGTTGCCAATCGTCTCAACAGGTAAAAAAAATCGTTACCCAAATCCAAATTCTTCCTAATGTAGTAAGTTTATTTGTTTATTGATTACCCAAGACTTAGTTAGAATAACTGTAATCGTAGATCCGGAATTTCTTTTGACTGGAATTCCGATTTGGCAACAAATAAGCAAAGATCGGCATTGACATCGCCAGCCAAGGAAGATAGGTATTATGCAACAAGGGGATCGGGTTCCTTAGGATTGGATGATAATACAAAAGTTTTGATGGATCAACGGGTGAAGGAAGATACAGGGATTGTATGGCCGAGATTGTTCACCACATTATCTAGTAAAGAAAAGGAACAAGATTTCATGGCTATGAAGGGATGTAAGCTTCCTCAAAGGCCAAAGAAAAGGGCAAAGTTGATCCAAAGAAGCATTTTCGTGAGTCACTCTACTATTTTTATAATATTTTTGCTAAGATTGTTATCTTTTCTCATTTATCATTGTTCACCATTGTGTTAGTTTGTGTAGTTGGTAAGCCCTGGGACATGGCTATCAGACCTGTGCCAAGAGAGGTATCAAGTCAGGGAGAAGAAAACTTCAAAGAAGGTAACTTGTTTTGGCTTTTACACCATCTTTTTTTTTTAATCAAATTATTTATTGTTTTGATCACTATCCTAGTCATTGTTTGCTCCAATCATTCAGAAACCAAGAGGACTGAAGGCTATGGGAACTATGGAAAGTGATTCAGAAAGAGTTGATACAGAGGAATGAATGAAACTCTGTCGCTTTTGGTCGCTTGGAGAGACAATTAGAGATTCAGCTTTTGCCCATATTTTATTTTATTTTGTTGATACCACTGATGAAAAACATTTCGAATTAATTTCAACCTTACAGTTCCAAAATCATAGATCCTATACCCAACAAATGAAGAAAAAACGATGGGTAATCTAAGTGAATGCCATACCAATCCAGAACATCTGAATTTTCAATACCTTGTTCTGGATAGGTCGGAAATCTTTGTTCAGAGATTAGGTTGACACATGCACATGTGGATTGCAATGTAACACACTCAATTTACGTTAAATCATTCTTCCAAGTCACGTTAGCGCTGTGCCGAACGAACACTTCAAAGTTCCAATGCGTGCCCCTCGTATTGTATGTGTATGATTGACTTCGGACGTAACAAATGATAAATAAATTCCATCTTTCAAAATTTTCATTTTCTTTCAATCCTCGGCTTTACTTGGTACGGCGGATGGCAATGGACCAAAGGCCGTTTATTTACAAAATTACTCATCATATTTATGTCTTCATCTTTAGATGGAACAATATAATTTTATTTTCATTTCTCCCATTTTCCACTCTACCATGTTAAAATATGAAAAGAAAATTATTTTTCCTCGACTTCCTATTTATATATCAAGGATGCAAATAGAAAAAAAAAAAAATCATGTTTTCCCTCTTCCTTACTATCCAAAATTTTCTTAAATTTTCCTAGGCAAAGTCTTGTGCAAAAGCTTAATGAATGCATGAGATCCCAGACGCGTAGGAACTCTTTTGCAGCGAGCCTCCACATGCTCCTATCCAATGAGTGACCAGAATTCGTTTGAGAGAGGATGCAACAAATAATTAAATTGGAATTATTCCAAAGATGGCTCGTTAAGATTATAAAAGCACTTCAAAACTGCAGCAGAAACTATCAAACCTTTTACAGCTGCAATGCCTTTCTACGTTCCCTAGTGGTTAGTAATTGTTTTTCTATTTTTCATTTTTTTTTTCCTTTTTAATTTCATTTACATGATCGGATCTATACTCCTCACAAATACCTACAAATGTACAACTAATCTCCCATGAGAACACTCTTCGGTTCTTTGCAAACACTAAAGATCCACGAAATACAAAGCTCGAGGAATCTCCAAACCTGATCTATCTGATCAATCATTGTATCCAGATAAAAACATGCCGGCACATACAGGAATGACATCTTTGAGAATGAATCAACATTATGCTTTCGGTGGTCATATGAACTGCCAACTCGCAGGCCATCCTTGCAGCTGAGAGCCCCAACGGCACTTTTACCTGTTACACGAGGCTTCAAATCAGTGACTTAACAGTCCACGAATTAACCATTTTTTGTTGTTGTGACATTTAAAACACAGAAGAAGCTAACTTCAATTAACACAAAAATAGCACACAGTTCCCCAAGAAATCCGTTAATCAGTCTGTTGAATTACCTACTTGCTTTTTGCCTGATTTGGTCCAATAAGACCTGCCCGCAGGTGCACACAGTTCACGAACAACCCAAGCACCCAAAAGTTTTAGCAGAATGCCCTCAGCCCTAAAGACAAGCAGACTGAAGAAGCCACCACCCTAACTACAAAGGTTCCAAGATTATGGAAGCTTTTGTGAATACAGAAAGAACAAACGGTGCTTCTTCCCCAGGATGTATGGTTGTAGGCACTATTGTGTAACCCTTTGGATCAGGCTCCAAAACCATTTCACATGATATTTCTCGAGAATTAACATAATCTGTACCACCAACTGATTCGTGTAGGTAAATATTGTAAGCAGCACGACGACCACGAGTTTTGAGTATCCTCATTCCAATGTAGAACATCAATGAATCATGACTAGATTGATAATTTCTAAAACCAGCTGCGGTTCTTGAGAAGCTAACACCCTGAACAGTTAATGCCACTTAAGGTTAGAAATTGAAACTCGAGAAAATGTAACAAATTAATTGAAGATTGGTTACACTGTATACCTGAGTTAAGGTGATGAACACATGAATTGGATACGATGCATCTGGACCACTTGCCCTCAATCGGAACTGGGGATTTTGATGCCATGAATTATAATCTTGACAGCCACCAGCACTGTAACCACGCCATTGTCCGTGGACAGAATAGCGCATCTCAGGAGGGTAGACCCGACACACATAAATCGATCTAAAGTGAATCTGAAAATCTTGCCAAGACATCCAGAATATACCATCTTTTGACTGTTCAAAAAGGAACAAATAAGTAGCACAGAAATGACAACTGCTAAAATAACAGGCTTAAGATAAATGCAATCATCCAATGATAAATGCCAAAGTAGGCAAAAAGCAACAACCTGAGGAACGTGCTTCAGCTTGTGCCTCATCCTATCAGTCCATTCCAAAGAGGAATCAGACCAGGGACCATTCCATTCAACTTCATTAGCCCAAGGGTTTCGAATTTGGACAAGCTTGTGTCCATCCACCTCTTTTACCTGGATAAGAAATTAATAAATGTGATTACCTCTTTCAACAATTCTTTAGCAGTTAATATGATATGTTGAGCAAAATAAGAGGTTGCATTCCAATATACCTGCAGTAATGAGTATGCATGTCCTTGTACAATGCCACTGGAAGAAACATGCACATCAGAACCTGATGGACTTCCAGCACCAAGAAGAAATCCTTCCTGTTTAAAGCGCAACAACTGAGACCATAGTCTACCACTTGCAAGATCTATCTGGGCTTGGGGACTTCTCATATCAATCTCCTCACCAGCACCTCCAGTAAGGTCAACAAGTGCATCCTGAACAAGCCCACCTTCTAGTGCCTCATAAGAACCATGCAACTTTGCATACGCCTTCTCTAATATAGAGACCCATAGTTCATTACCCTTCCTGCTGGTGGCAAATGCTGGCTTGCCAGGAGATTCACATGGAATCCAATCATCAACGACAACAGGGACCCACTCACCCTGCAGAGTGTTGATAGCCAGAGTATGTCCAAGGATCAACATGCTAATTATATGTTGCTTGTCAACACATATACTATACATTTAACACCAGCAGCTACTTCATCAAAGAATCAGGCAACACTAGAAAGCCAATAATGTTTAAAAGATACGGATAAGGAAAATTTTAATCAGATGAAATGTCATTTTATTATATCACAAAGAAATAGATATTTCTTTCTACAAGCAGAATTGATACAGAATGAGAAGGAATAAAACAAAAAAAGAGCTAATTGAGAGATTAGCTAACTTAGGAATTAATTTTCTTACTCTTCTTGTATTTATGGGCCTTAATTGTAATACTTCATGGATCTAGGGTTATATTTGGTATTTTATATTTACATCAGGGTTTAGTATTGTTTTTTTACCTTATCCTATTAGGTTTTGTTTTTAGGTAAAGTTTTATTAGATTTCTGTTAGGAGACTTAAGTATTTTCTTTAAAAGTCTTATTTGACATAGGAATTCTACTTCTTTTAGGATTAGTAGATTATTAAATATCAATGTAGTTTTTCTTTTGAAACAGATAATTATGATAAGAGATATTTCAACATTATTGCTGATAAGAGATGTTTCAACATTATTGCTTTTTCATTGTCTGATGCAATCATCGTTCGGTGTAACCCAGTGACTCCTAAGGAACCCTAGGTGTGATACTTAGCATTTCTTTCTGTGTGATGCAATCAAGGAAGCTTTGGTGCGAAGCTTAGGTTATATTTCATTTTCTTCTTCCCTTTTTGTTATTCAGTTTTCATTATTTTCCTAAGAATTTCAGATTATTGTTATAAAAAAATCCTATCGCCTTAAGCTGTCTCAAGAAAATCTGAAAATGGAATTAAAACCAATTGTGCCAGACAGACATCCCAGTTCCTTTACCATCCAACAGCACTGTAAATAAATAAAGCCAAAGTATTTAAATGACTAGAAAGACAGTTCCAATAGTGTTCCTTCAATTTTCAACTGCTAATAAGCAATGAGCATTGCAAGCCCGAGCATAGACCTACAAGCACATTACCTGAATACAGAAGCGAACTGTATAGATTCCCTCTTCACTGTACTCTGGAGTAATAATCACTTCTGATATCCTCGAAACCTCTGTTAAAACAGCAACGGCACTCAAAAACCAACAATCTCCCAATCGCCCCTATTAAATTGGCAGACAAACGCTAATTAAAAAGAACTGAACCACTAAATTAACATTACTTAAGAAACATAAATGCAAAAGAAAATGTATGGGACAAAGGATAACATCATGGCAAACTAAGCTCATAAAATAATAAACCTGACAAACATCAGATGGATTTGCAGTGCCAGAAAATAAGCATGGACGGGAATCTAGATGACCTTTCACAATTTCAGTAGGTCTCATCCACTCCGAAACAACCTAGATCAGAAAGCCAAGACAAGGTCAGGATAACAATGAAATAAAGACACGAGACTGCAAAGGATTAGCCAGGAAAACACCTGCAACTTTGAAGAAGGATTACTCGGATCTATAAAAAGTGACTGATCATTTGGAGGGAACTCATTGTCAGTAAAATACATTTCACCTCGGGCAAAGAGGGCTTCTTTGACAGCCAACTCAACAGAGAGCATCCGCTGATTAATTTCTTCTTGTGTTTCAATCCTAGGTTTCCTATACCTTCTGGTAAAAGAATCCACATTAACCACAAAACCCTCACGCTGTGACCTCCTTTTCCTCCCACTTGAATACTGACCGTCCCAATCTACATCATCCCTATCATATAGGTCAACGTCTGCAGGGTCACTGTCCCATTCATCAACCTGAAGCAATAATAAATAAACAGATTTGAGTTATATATATTCTATAAATTGGTCAGATACAACACACCACACAAACACACAATCACAAATACATACACACACATATATATATATATATATATATATTAAATTTGACACAAACCATACCCTTGGGGGTGAATCTGCCCAATGCCAATTATCCTCGGGGATATCAATCAAGTTAAACTCAGTTGAGCAAATAGCAGCATGAAGAGAAGCAATCTCATCTTCATTTAAGCACCTTCCCCAGACAAAAACATCCATTATATGCATCTTAGACTCTGCTCCTTCACTATCTGACCTCCCAAATGCATCCATATCAATAGGCGGCCTAACACCAACCCAAACTTCAGTCCCTTGTTCCAAAATGCTATTACCCACAATCAAGGGCAAGCCAGTTTGATAGCCATCAAAACCACCATCTAAATAGCAAGTTGCCTCCCCTATATCAGCATCAATAGTCATTGTCACAATATGCCACCTGCAAAGCAATTGTAATCCTGGTAAGCTTGAATGTCAAAGAGGAAAT